TGGAAGTGTTGGAAGAAGAACTGGGATCCAGGAAGGTGGGGGCTCCAACCTAAACAGAAACCACAGAAGTGTGTGATGATGCCAGTGCAGGTTCTGCCCTGGAGAATGGATATCCAGATTGAAGCCAGAGGGCAGTGGCTCCTAAAGGAGATCCCTGTAGACAGCATGGATTACCTTGTGCGCTTAAGGTGGTAGATGTATCATTTTGAGGGCTCTAGCCAGGAAGGGGCAGTGGAGCCCCTTGGGAAGTTGGAATCTTTTCTCTCTTATTCTGGGCTTCGAGCTCACAGGTATATACATATGTAACATATGTATAATTTATCAAAAATATGTTATGCCTCTATTGACACTCTAAAAAGACTGTCAATTTAGGCTCGGCGCCCGTAGCACAGTGGTTACAGTGCCGTCCATATACACTGAAGGTGGCGGGTTGGAGCCCAGCCCAGGCCAGCTAACGAACAATGACAACTGCAACAAAAAATGGCCAGGCATTGTGGCGGGCGCCTGTGGTCCCGGCTGCTTGAGAGGCTGAGGCAAGAGAATTGCTTGAACCCCGGAGTTTAGGGTTGCTGTGAGCTGGGAAGCCACGGCACTCTACCAAGAGTGACATGGTGAGACTTTGTCTCAAAAAAAAGACTGTCAATTTAGGCTCAGGGCCCATAGCACAGTGGTTATAGTGCCAGCCACATACACCAAGGGTGGCAAGTTCGAACCTAGCCCAGGCCAGCTACTGATCTGCAACAAAAAAATAGCCAGGTGTTGTGGTGGGTGCGTGTAGTCCCAGCTACTTGGGAGGCTGAGGCAAGAGAATCACTTAAGCCCAAGAGTTGGAGGTTGCTGTGAGCTATGACGCCACAGCACACTACCAAGGGCAACATAGTAAAACTTGGTCTCAAAAAAAAAAAAAGACAATTTTAAAAAGTTGCAGTTAAGCTTATGATTGAAAATATGGAAATACATACTAGAAGAAACAGCTAAAAAGTTGGAAGCAGTTGCCTCTGGAAACAAGATCAGGATGTGATCAGAAGAAAGAAATGGCTTTTTTACTTTCCTATAGTAGCATTTGATTTATAATGTATATTACCTGGATAAAATTAATAATTAAAAAATGACAAAACAGGCAGTGCCTATAGCTATAGTGGGCTCAGCTATACCAACACTAGTGGGTTTGAACCCTGCTTGGGCCAGCTAAAACAATAAGAACCGCAACAACAACGACAAAAATAGCTGGGTGTTATGGCAGGCTCCTGTAGTCCCAGCTACTTGGGAGGCTGAGGCAAGAGAATCGCTTAAGCCCAAGAGTTTGAGGTTGCTGTGAGCTATGATGCCATGGCACTCTACCAAGGGCAACAGAGTGAAACTATGTCTCAAAATAAAAAAACTATGTCTCAAAATAAAAAAAAAAGACAAAACAGAGAGAGTTGCTCATTAATCTCATCCTTATGGGGGAGTTCTGGTTCCTGTTTTGGGTCCAACTCTGTGCTGGGAGAAGACATGTCCTGATGTTGAGCAAACATCGCCAGCCATGATCAGGCCCTCTAAGAGGGACTGTCCTGTGGAAGAAATGAGAGTTGAGCCTTGGAAAGGAGTATCAGCTCTCTTATGCTATTAGGATCATCACCTCTTCTCTTGTATAGCTTTGGGTCCAGGCCCCTGATTGGGGAGGAGGCAGAGCCTTTGTCACCTTGTACCCTGGGCTGGAAGGGCACAGAACCCCTCCTCTATACCCTGAACTGGAACCCCCAGGAACTCTGAAGGGTTTGGGTTTCCTTTCTCTCACCCTGCACTGGGCTCCCCCTGCCATGCCTTCTGCACACACACACCCAGCAGCCACCTCCCTAACCCTCTGTTCCCATGTGGCCTATATCCTTCCCTACATCCTGATATGTACTATTTTCACCCCTTGGGTGGCAGCAATAAATAAGAAAGAGGAATCTATTGCTGGTGTTTAAACTGCAGAAAACTGTAGCACAGCAAACCTGTCATGCTATAGGGAACTCTCTTCTCTGTCCCACTTTGTGTTTTTGAGGTTCATCTGTGCTGCCCCTGCAGCTCTACTCTCATTTTCTTTCTTTCTTTTTCTTTTTTTGAAACAAAGCCTCAAGCTATCTACCCTCAAGCTGCGTAGAGTGCTGTGGCATCACAGCTCAAAGCAACCTCCAACTCCTGGGCACAAGCAAGTCTCCTGCCTTAGCCTCCCAAGTAGCTGGGACCACGGGTGCCCACCACAATGCCTGGCTATTTTTGGTTGCAGCCGTCATTGTTGTTTGGCGGGCCTGGGTTGGATTCAAACCTGCCACCTTAGGTGTATGTGGCTGGTGCCTTAGCCACTTGAGCCACAGGCGCCCAGCCCTTTCTTTTTTTTTAATAGAGACAGTCTCACTTTATCGACCTTGGTAGAGTGCCGTAGTGGGGGTCGTGCCCCACCCACTGAGCCACAGGCACCACCTCTACTCCCTTCTGTTTTTTGGCTGGGGCTGGGTTTGAACTTGCCACCCTCTCAGCATATGGGGCCGCATACTACTCCTTGAGCCACAGGCGCCGCCCTACTCCCATTTTCTATTGATTAGTTTCCACATTGATAAATGGGTTGCTTGGGCAGTGCCTGTGGCTCAGTGAGTAGGGCGCTGACCCCATATACCAAGGGTGGTAAGGTTCAAACCTGGCCCTGGCCAAACTGCAACAAAAAATAGCCAGGCATTGTGGCGGGCATCTGTAGTCCCAGCTGCTCAGGTGGCTGAGGCAAGAGAATCGCCTAAGTCCAAGAGCTGGAGGTTGCTGTGAGCTGTGATGCCATGGCACTCTACTGAGGGCGACAAAGTGAGACTCTGTCTCTTAAATAAATAAATAAATGGATTGCCACATAACCTCCCTGGGCCACCTCTAGGGAACATTAAGAGATCTGCACACTCCTCCCTAGGCTGGAGTGCAGTCTTTTCAGGTGTGCCCACGTCCTCTTGGCCAGGAACAGGAAGCAGGTGTCAGGGGACCCTGGTTCTGTGTCGTGCCATGCTGCTCACCCACTGCACACTCCAAGTGGCTCTCCAAGACAAGGGGCCCCAAGGGAGCATGGCACAGGTACTGGATAATAGCTTTTTGCCATGGAGTTCCCTGGTCCCTGTGGTCCTCTAGACGTGAAAATAGCTTCCTCTGCATCCCCTACTCCGCCCCCATACCATCAAAGTGTTTTTGCTGCCAGCTTGCAGGATCCGTAACCCTCTGGAACAGCAGTGATAGTCCTAGCTACAACCACTTACAGTGTGCCTACTGGATGTCAGGCACCGCTCCAAGACCTAGGACTGGATTGTCAATGTCCACAAGATGAGGAAGTGGCCACTTTTCTTACCCCCAGTTTACAAATGAGGAAACTGATGTAGAAAAGGTTGAGACACTTATTTTCTCCCCTGTACCTACCACTGATAAGCCTAAGTCAGATCTGAACCTCGTCACCAGGCCCCAAGGTCAACTGTTGTCTGGTTCTATATGGCCTTTGAGGGGAGGGCTACTGCTTCTAAACCTCCCCAGGGACTGCCAGACCCACTAGGGCCCCACAGGCCTCAGGAGTAGGTGCCCTCTGCCTTCCTCCTCCATCCTCTAAACCAAGGTTCTTGGGTGGGGGTCTACCTTGTATGTCTCTCCCCACACACACACTTATCCAGCAGGTGATGTGGGACAAGTCAATTCTTCCCAAGCCTTAGTTTCCTCATTGGTAAAATGGAATCAATAATAGTCTCACCTCATGACACTGTTTGCAGGTCAAAATAAGACATTTTGTGGTGATCCAAAATAAGGTCTGGGGCCCACAGGGGGTCCCATGAATGGTGTGGTTGGTTCAGGAGGGAAAGTTGGACAATTTTGAGGGCTGAATTCATTCTCAAAATAAAATCTATCCCTGCTGATGGTCAGAAAAGAATGTCCTCCCTCTGTACAGCTAAGGAAACAACAACCAAAGCAAACAGACAACCTTCAAAGTGGGAAAAGATATTTGCGTATTATGAATCATACAAAAGCTTAATATCTAGGATCTATAGAGAACTCAAATTAACAAAAAAGCCTGAAATAGGGCGGTGCCGTATACCGAGGGTGGCGGGTTCAAACCCAGCCCTGGCCAAACTGCAACAAAAAAATAGCTGTGCATTGTGACAGGCACCTGTAGTCCCAGCTACTTGGGAGGCTGAGGGAAGAGAATCACCTAAGCCCAGAGTTGGAGGTTGCTGTGAGCTGTGTGATGCCACGGCACTCTACTGAGGGCAATAAAGTGAGACTCTGTCTCTCCCCGCTACCCCCACCCCAAAAAGCCTGAAATAGGCTTAGTGCCTGTGGCTCAAGCGGCTAAGGCGCCAGCCACATACACCAGAGCTGGTGGGTTCAAATCCAGCCCGGGCCTGCCAAACTACAATGAAAACTGGAAACAAACAAAAATAGCAGGGTGTTGTGGCAGGTGCCTGAGGTCCCAGCTACTTGGGAGGCTGAGATGAGAACTGCTTAAGCCCAGTAGTTTGAGGTTGCTGTGAGCTGTGATGCCAGGGCACTCTACCCAGGGGGACAGCTTGAGGCTCTGTCTCAAAAAAAAAAGGAAAAAAGCCCGAAATAATCCCATATATCACTGTGCAAGACAGATGAATAGAATCTTCTCTGGCTCGGTGCCTGTGGCTCAAGTGGCTAAGGCGCCAGCCACATACACCTAAGGTGGTGGGTTTGAATCCAGCCCGGACCCGCCAAACAACAATG